CTCGGCGCCGCGCGTCGAGGGGCACGGCGGAGGGGGGGCAGGGCAGCTGAAGGTCCACGCCCCTGGGGTACCGACTCCCACACCCTAAAGCAGCCCACCGTGCCCGGTGTCCCGTGTCCCCCTTAGTGTCCCTGACTGTCCACCGCAGAGTGCCTTGGCCCCTGCTCCTGGGGCTTTGCTTAGTTTCTGCATCTGTTGCCCTAATCTCCGGAGCCCCTTGACTCTCCGAGGCCCCTCCCTGCTCTGCCCTGAGGCCGCCTAACTGCACCCGACGTGCCCTGGGGCGCAGGGTCAGGACACCGTGTCCAGGGCTCCTTGTGAGAGGTTGGGCGGCGCCAACAAGCAGCAGCTCTGGGACGCCAGGCCGGGCTCTGGGCGCTGTTTTGGGGGACGAGGGGCGGGACGGAGGCCATCTGCAAGCCCTGGCCTCCCTCCCTGAGGGCAGCCGTGGGTGCCTGGCCCCGCTTGGGGAGCCCCACCGCAAGTCTGACTGGAGCATTTCCCAGTGCTGTGGCCGGTCGGCTGTGCAGGCCAGGCAGTGGGGGGTGGGGAGGCGCGGCCGTCCGCTGTGGGAGGGTGCCGGGTTGTGACTGGCAGCAGGATCTCACCTGCTCCGCTGCTGACCCAGCTTCCCAGTCCGTCCCATGTTCCCTTTGAGAACCTGAAGGGCACTCACCCCAATGTTTAAAGGCTCCAATACTGGCCATTTTCATGTTTTGAAAGACCTCATACAAAGGATGGGACAGAAATTAGATTTCCTGAGAAGGGTTAAACACGAGGCCCAGAAGGGAGTGAGCAAGAAAGAGGGGAGCCCTCTAGTGAAGATGGGACCCCTCTCACCCCCCCACGTCTGCCGAGTCAGACTGCCCTGGGCCACCATGAGGAAAGGCGGCTCCTGGAGGCTGGGGCCCCCCTGCGGCGGCCCCGGGCGCAGCGGCCCCGGGGAGGGCACCCTCGTGCCCGAGGAGACACCCAGGCTCCCCGGGGCTGCCTTTGTCACCCCGCGGCAGAGGCGTCTCCCATGGGCTGTCCCCTGTGACCATGACGTGTCCACCGTCCCCTGTAAGTAAGGCCTGGTGGGCCAGGTCACCCTGCTGCCACACAGCCTCAAGTAATGCCATCTGCTAACGCCCCACTCCCACAGGACACTTTCTGGGGTCTGGGGCCTGGACTTCAGACGGTGGACTCTGTCGCTTACGCGTGAACCCCACGACGGCAGGAGCTGCGCCGCCGCTGTCCCTCCTAGTGGACACCGGGCAGGCGCTGGCGAGCCAGTGGGGCAGGAACGGTGGGTTCCTGTTGAGCGCCGCGGGACAGGCTTCCCGGGCAGCCGGCTTCAGCACCGGGGACAGCGCCCGCTCTGCCCGCAGCTGTGGCACAGGCTGGCCCTGGCCTGGGCACTCGGCGCCCTGGACTCCCCCGCCGGAGCCCGCTGCCTATGCGGAGTCTGGTTTTTTCTGGGCAAGGTTCTGCCCTTGTTTCCTATCGTGATTCACCTTCAGCAGTGAAGTCATTTTCCAGGCCCCTGGAGGCCCGTGGGGGGGCAGGTATCCCGCCGCAGCCGGCCTGGCATTTCCGGTCACCGCAACACCTGGCCCCTTCTGGGGGCTGCCGGACATGCGCCGCGACGCCGCCTCGGGCCGCGACGCCCGTGGGGCCGCGACGCCATCCAGCCTCCCGCGGGGCCGCGACGCCATCCGGGCAGTGACCGCCGTCCTGGCACCGGCCTGGTCCGATCACGCTGCGCCCCTCGGCCCTCCCCACTCGGGGCGTCCCGAGGACTCTGCGTGCTCTGGGTATGTGGGCGCTGCGCCGGGGGTACACTGGAGCCAAGGCCCCGCCCCCACCCGGCCGGCGCCGCCCCAGCCCAGCAGGCACACGGGGGTCTCCTGGCTTGGGGACAGCGCGGCGCTTCCCGGAGAGCCGAGGTTTCGGCGCCACCGTCGCGCCTTAGCGCCGCGAGCAGCTGGGGCTTCAGGGCGTCCGACACCGAGGGGCCGCCTCAGGCCCTGGGCGGGGTCCGTTGGTGTCCTGGACCCCTCAGAGACGCCACGCTGCGCCAGGCCGCGAGGCCGCGGGGGGAA